TGTTCTTTTTAGCTATAAAAAAATAGTTAAAGTATACAAGAAACGCTAAAAAGAACAGACTATTTTGACTCGGAGTCGGATCGAGTCAACAAATCGAAAACGCTATTAATCTCAATCTGATACCGGCTTAAAGCCCGTATCAGACTAAAGATTGAGATTGAAATTGAATTGGAATTTAACCAATTAGAAGAAAGAAAACTAATCTTAAATTTAGTGAACTTTGTTTTAATTGGTCAAATTCCATTCCAATCTTAATCTCAATCTTTAGTCTGATACGGGCTTTAAGGGATTCTATACACTGAACGCGGAAATGCTTGTCGCGCGGCAAAATGTGACGCGATAATCAATAAACTTATAATTCCTAAAGAAAGATTACACGTTTATTGGCTATCACTAAGTCGTAAGTCATAAAAATTGATTACATGAATTAATCACAATCGAATATTCTCGCCTTACGTTCGACCATGATTGGTCAATTTTTTGCGGCTTACGGCTATTGCAAAGTAGGCTTAGTATTTATAAAATTATTAAAATTTACTTAATACTTATGTTTTTTTTTTGCGCGCGCGAAAGTGTGCACAAATGCGAACCGGCATGAAGTACTCCGGCGGAAATGCTCTGTTCAAAATCGTGGACGGGTTTGCGAACGCGCCGTCGGGGCGGGCGACGGCGCGATTGGCCGGCGCGTTTCCCACGCTTGCCATTGGCCGATTTCGCGCAACGCTCCCGATAACGTCCCGCCAGCTTGCGCCAGCTGTTGGTGTTACGTTTGTTTGAAATCAAACGGCAACCGTGACCCGTTGGTTGCCGAGTGCGCCCCGATTTCCCGCAATCTCTCTGAACATGCTCAGCCGGCTGTGAGGGGAGCGTTACGCGTTCGGGGGCATTCGTTTCGTCGCGGCACGTGTGAAGAAATCGGGGACGGGGTACGCGCGCGCCCGTTGTCATCTATTTGGCAGAGCGGCCTTTTCTTCTCTCTCTCTCTCAACCCGGTACTTCGTTCCGCGGCGGCGGAGGTGTCCCGCAAGATCTCTCCCGCGCACGCACCGCAGTCGGTTTGTCGGTTTCTTCCGTTACGCGAGTGGGCGACCGCCACGCGAGCCACGATGGCCACGATCAGGATACACCAGGATCAGGATCAGGAGAATCGCATCGCCGACCGGCGCAACCGCGACAAGGAGAACTTCGCCGCGGCCGCCGCGGCCACCGCCGCCGCCGCTGCCGCCGCCGTGATGAACAAGCAGACACAAGTGCTGCACCAGAAACGCGCCGTTCTCGGGGTCCTGCACAACAATTGTCCACGGAACGCGGCGAAGCCCGTACGTAGAGCCTGTTATCTGTACTCCTCCTCCTCGCTTTGCCCTCCTCTAACGACGACACGTCGCGAGCCACCTAACCGTCTTCGCGCCTCTTCGCCGGATTCTCGAAAGAAGATCTATTGGCTAATTGACATTCGAGAATAAAAGTCGCAATTTCGATGCTAAATTACTTTCCTCCGGCGAATTCCGAATATCTCCGCTGCGAGCGCATAGATTAAATTTCGTTTTCTTTCGCGTGTTATAGCTCAATTTAGTATGTAGACGATTGTTATTCCGGAGTCGAGTGTCGCATTGAACATTCATTATCAACACAAAGCAACTTAGGGCTAAGCGTTAGCTTATATTTATTATAAAGTTTCTTCCATCTCTTTCTCCCTTAGCAGGAGGTCTACAAAGATGAGAAGTACATCAAATCGAAACCTACCTTTGTACCCACGCAATCTGAGTCTTTCAAAATTTTCGAGGAGGACTTTTACAAGAAGGAGGAACCAGCCTTCAAGATTTATGAGGATAAGCTGGAGGAAGAAACATCTGTCGCTCTTAGAAACTCGAAGGAGAAGAAGGAAGCGAAAGCTGTACAAGAAACGATGACAAAGTTCGAACAAAGGGAACAGCTGAAATTAGAAGTGGACTCTGTAGACAGCACTTCCACTTATGTATTTTCTAGTAAGATCGAGGAAGTCGGTCAAAATAAGCAGGATGATGTCTTATCGAAAGACAGTCCCATGTCACTGGGGATGTCGTTAGAGAAGTCACTCACATATAGCAGTTCCTCCAACGACGAGTATAGAACCAGAAGGGAGTGTAACAAGGAATTGAGAACCACTTTCTTCGATGTAGATGAATACAGGGCTGATATATACAATTATTTGCGAGTGTCAGAGGTATAGGCATGCTTTTTATTCTACTTTAATTCACATAAATTAACATTAAAATAATTGGAGTAAAAATTGAATCGACGAGATTAATTTAGTAATATGGAGTTAATAATGCTTTAATATTTTTTTTAATACAAATTAAATACTGTTTATTATGAAAGAAAGTAATGTTAATTCTAATTAACATTAAAATAATTGGAGTAAAAATTGAATCGACGAGATTAATTCAGTAATATTAAGTTAATAATGTTCCAATATTTTTTTTCAATACAAATTAAATACTTTTTATTATGAAAGAAAGTAACGTTAATCCTGTGTCTAGAAAAAAAATCTATTTCAATATTAAAATTTCTAATTATCTTCTTTCAGACACTGTATAGACCAAAGCCTGGTTACATGAAGAAGCAGCCTGATATTTCATATTCAATGAGATCTATATTGATAGATTGGCTCGTAGAGGTAGCTGAGGAATATCGGTTGCAGGACGAGACACTTTACTTGTCCATTTCGTACATCGATCGCTTTTTATCGTACATGAGCGTTATAAGAACGAAGTTACAACTCGTTGGAACTGCCGCTATGTTTATCGCGGCGTGAGTTCATTTTTTTGAATAATCATATTTTGAGAAATCTCTATAACATAAATCTCTCTTATTGAAAATCAACTGTTACTTAAATTTTTGAATGAAATTCTTATTTTACAAGTACAACATATTTGTGTCTTTAATAGGAAATACGAGGAGATTTATCCGCCCGATGTAGGAGAATTTGTATATATCACAGATGATACGTATTCAAAGACACAAGTGATAAAAATGGAGAATTTGATATTGAAGGTTTTGTCATTCGATTTAACTGTACCGACGCATTTCACATTCCTCAATGAATATTGCATCAGCAACAATTTATCGGACAAAATTAAATTTTTGGCAATGGTAAGTTTCAATGAATATAAAAAAAAGATAACAAAAAGATATAAGCAGTACGAAGTTTCAGATGCCATTGTATTTTCTGAACTTTCTTTAATTTTTCATTTTTTTTTTTAATGTTTAATATATTTCATATATTATTTCAGTACTTGTGCGAGTTGTCGATGCTCGAGGGAGACCCATATTTGCAGTACTTGCCAAGTCACTTGGCTGCATCCGCGATAGCACTAGCGCGGCATACGTTGCGGGAAGAGATCTGGCCACACGAATTGGAACTGTCAACTGGATACAGTTTAAAGACTCTGAAGGAATGTATTGCATACTTGAGCAAAACCTTCTCCAATGCTCCTAACATGCAGCAAACAGCAATACAGGAGAAGTACAGAAGCAGCAAGTAAGTAGAAATATTGAAAACGATATGTACAGCATAATAAAATAGATCATATAATACATAATTATGCAATTTAATCCGATAATACAAATAGACTCAATATGACTATGATTAAATACACGGACAGTAACGTACATTTCTTTTCTTTTTCGTGATCTCGCAATGAATATTACTTATAGATTAAGATAAACATAACCACTACTGAATGTATATATATATTTGAACACGTACGCAAAATTTATTAATCTCAAATGCTTTTTTTATTATATCAAAATTTAATTGTAAAAATATTTAAAGATTAGAATTAAATTATAATATTATGAAAGAAAGCATTTAAAAATAAGTTTTTGTGTACTTGTTCAAATATAGATACATGTTCAGTTTTCTTTTCTATTTTGTGATCTCGCAATGAATATTACTTATAGATTAAAGTAAACGTAACCATTACTGAATGTGTATATATATCTGAACACATACGCCAAATTTATTAATCTCAAATGCTTTTTTTATTATATATATTAAAATTTAATTGTTAAAATATTTAAAGATTAGAATTAAATTATAATATTATGAAAAAAGGCATTTAAAAATTTAAGTTTTTGTGTTACTTGTTCAGATATAGATACATGTTCAGCAATGGTACGTTCATCTTACGGGACATTAGAAAATTTTAACAAGACCATTTCTTCTCTCCTTTAGGTACGGTCATGTATCCATGCTGTTGCCTCGTAGTACCGAGGCGGTATCGTGCGAGGACGAGGATGAAGAGGAAGGCATTTAGTAAAGAATATTGTCAGACAGGCACAGAATTAAAATAACCTTTTTTTTTCTGTGTTTAAATTGGTAATTGAATAACGAACCTCCCATGGCAGGCTTACACTGAAAATGAAGGAGGGGATGAGGGCAAGACTTGACCTGCCATTCCTATAAAATGGAAGGAAAAACGTACGATTTACTATTTCTTTCTCGTGAATTTGTTGCAGTCCGGTCGGTACATTTTGCGAGAGCAAAATCCTCTACCTGATTCTCCTACCTTCACCACACATTATTTTGTATCAACAATGTCTTCATATTCTTAAGTCATGGCCTAACGAAAATTTTAATAATTACTTTAAAAGTTTTGCCAATATAAAACTCCAGAAAGGGAGAGGGGGAGAGAGAGAAAGAAAGAGATAATAATCTCAAAAATTGTATTTTTATAAGTACTTTTTAGAGGATTAAAACAACAACGCGATACATGCAAACGGCCAAAAATTCGATTGCAAGTAACCCGCTCCAATAATAAGAATCGTAAGCGCGATTTTGTATTTATTATTATCGTTTTATCGTTAGGTGCGCGCCATTTAACGATAATAACGACATATTCGATTTGAGATGATATTTCCGCAAAATTAATTTGCAATTAATTATTTCGATCAATTTTTCAGTCCTTGTACAGTTATTTATTTACAACGTTCTAGGTACCATAATATCAAATGCGTAGTTTGTTTTATTAGAAAAGTAAGGTATCTTTTATATATATATATATCCCTATATTACATTATATACAGGAATATTAGATTATACGCTGTGCAAGATTACATTGTCAATTCTCTCCTGACGCAAATCGTTTTTTTGGATTTCTCTCTACTGAGAACACGCGTGCCTTTTTTTTATATCCAACCAATCGTTCGTAAATGCATGTAAATGAAATTTAATCGCACATTCGCAGTAATTAATACATTCGTTTCGATGACGTATGTACGTTTTCGATCGTATTGACGTGCAATATTGCACAGCACAATTGCCGCATTCTAACGCAAAATACCTAGGTGTTCATCAGATCTGATATTGCATGAGAGTATGTTCATATGAAAATTTAAATACAAATATAAAAAAATGTTATGAAAAGTCGTATACCATTGGCATGATTACACGTTCAGCTTTATGTTAATTGTAAATTTATTACGGTCTGCTCCACTTTATAATTGACTCGGTACTTAGAAGAGGACTTAGAATGCCACCGAAGACTGCTTGTTCATCAACTGAAACAAGTATAAAGGGTGCCGTCACATGCGACGTATTTACCGCGTATCTCGTAATTGCGTAACCAACCCGAAAGCGATTTGCTTGGCGTAAAACGCAAAATAAAAAACGGCAGATCTCTTCCGATTGATTACGCGATACGCGGCGAATACGCGCCGCATGTGACGGCACCGTAACTGGCTTTCTGAGATGGGCCAGGAATAAAATTTGTTACAGCTTCCTCGCACATGCACGTACATATCGAAAATTACGAATAACGTGAAACATGTTAAAACTCCGGAAGATATGTTTCGTAAGGTTAAAACGTAAATTTCGAAAAGCAGCTCCTTTCGGAAAAGTCCAATTTTAAATCAACAGTTTCTGTCTACCGAGATCTTTCTCTCTAGTGATTCGAAAGTTGAAAAACGTGATACATGCGAATATTTTTATACTATATTTTCATAAATATATATGACATAGTGCGTTTTCTATACCACGTTAAAAATATTATAAAATATTCGGAGCCGCGTTTCGACGTAATACAAGAATCGTTGTATCAAACCGATTCCGTAATAGCGAGTTTATATAGACGAAAGCATGACTAATATAACAATTGTAAATAAACACAAAGATAATTTCTTTTGACGGAGATCTTGGAGGGATACTTTGAATGAAGGAATAAAGAGGACGAATGAAACACTGAAGGCAGCGATATTTTTTTTTTTTCTTCACTTTTGTATTAAAAATGCTTCAACAGTACCCAAAATTTTTATCCATAGAGCAACGTGCGTTTTCTCAGAAAAGAATTCAAACAACCTCTCTGTCGGCGTATATATAAACGTAACAAGTAGTATAAAATGAAGCAATTCAAAAATCGACAATAATTATAGTGTTTCGAGAGCGAGGGCAATTGTCACATACTTATGATTAGACCTTATAGCACAGGTAATAATGAGGCGCACATTTCTACTCATCGTCAACGGCGAGTATAGGGAAGGTGTGGTACGCATAATTTCTTTTTTTGTTTTTAATATTTTTTGTGTATCACTGGTATGTTGAAGAGTTCTATGCTTGATCTGGAATAGGAGATATGATATGATTAGATGATTGATACAAAGAACGGGGATTACATTTGGAGCCACAAGGTGCAGGATTATCTAGGCAGTTATCGGTCAGAGGTGTCGTTAGTGTGTTGTTGCATACTGTAACGCACGAACGATTGATTTTTTTTTTCCTTTTCATTACGGCACAATTAATGTAACTCTACTGTTGTTTACACTCATTGGGATCGTCGCCCTGTTTCCCACCTGGAGGCGCGTTAGCGGGAGAGGAGGCCTCCTCTTCCTCGTCCTCCTCATCCTCATCATCATCCCCCTCGTCCTCGTCCTCGTAATCCTCGTCCTCGTCATCTAAACCTTCGCCTGGAAAAAGTTCGGTTTCGTGAGGAGACTACTCGAAAATATGCACGCGCGAATATTCTAATTTTATATATACTTCGAAGTTAAAACGTTTTCGATGAACTGCACCTATGTACCGCACGTTCATACAGTTTTTAATAAGAAATGATCGCACCGTATTCATTATGTTCACGTGAGGAAATTGTAATAACACATTCGTGGACGTTACCTGTGTAGTAGAGCACGGCTCTAGGAACTATGCGTTCTCTAATGTAATGGCCTAATTCGAAATCGCTGGTTAGTAAAGCCTGAGTATCATCGTCCATATCAGCTTCCGAGTCTTCTGGCACTGAAAAGAGTTTGCATTTGAAATTAAATTGCAAATCAAGTACGTTGACTCGCGATTTTATTGCGCTGTATCGAGAAAATTAAAAAGATACGAGGGGTAACGAATGGCTCAGTATGCGAGCACGTTGGTTCATAATCGGTGGTCCCGGGTTCAATGCCTCACCCCACGCGTCTCGATTTTGAGATTTATTAGAAATGTAACTCTATATATCATTTATAAGAGATACGAAATTATTACTTACCAATTGGTGGACTGAAGAAATTAAAGAAGGAATCATTTTGAACCGTTTTCGTCACGGTACGCATGGATCCTCGGGATTTATGCTTCTGATTCTTCTTAATAGTTTTTATTGTGACGTTCTTTCCCTTTTTCCAATCAATCACGCAGCCCTGCGCAAAAAAAAGAAGTTCTCGCTTTTAGTATCGTAATTATTCGAAAATCGAATTAGACCAAGGTAAAAACTTTATTTATTTACTTTGCATTTGTATATCTCTGGTCCTTCGAAACTGAATGGATCGTTCTTGTCTGGAGTACATTTCATGATGTACTCTTTAGTGAGCATTGAATTAGAAAAATATTCGTTGGGCGTGAAATAGAACTCCAGGACAAATCCCTGAAAAGAGGGACCAATTTAAAAATCGAGTTTCTTTCCCAATTCTATTAATTATGTCTTCATCTTTGTAGCCATCTTACCATTGGATCCGATGGCAGAAATTTTACTTTGATATCATGGAGATGCTTTAAGATCGGTTCATCATGTTCCTGAACCATTTCGGACAGTGTGCTTACATTCTTAAATATTGTTAGCCAGAAGTCTGGGATGCCCTTAACGTCATCCTCGTTCTCCGTTCTGAAATATAATGTTACGATTTTCGATATGCAATTAATCGCACGTGTCTAACGAAACCTAATCTTTCGTAGATAAGCACAGATACATATATGTTAATTATTTTTAAAAAAAAAGAGAAAAACAAAGGTACGTACGTTTCCTTCATCTCTACATTATCCTCGATCTTCGCCTTCTCCTTCATATAATTACTTAGCGTTTCGTCCTCTTCGTCGCTCTCCCAAGCGCATTGCTCGTCGGTCGGCTCGTAAGCGCCCGACACTATCTCACACCGCTTCTGGTACAGCGGCGCGCACATCTTATAGTACTCGCATTCCAAAGCATGGACCTCCTCGTAAAATTTCGCCTCGATATTAGTAGTGACAAGTTGCAATTGTTTCAGTGCCTTGATCCTGCGCTTGACGGGAGCAGGAAGAGACTGCATTTGCTAAAAATACAAATTGCGCTTGTGAAACTTCGCTACTAAACAAAACGTAACGAATTTCAACATTTTTACTAAGCCTTTCCTGAAACTCCGTTTTTTAACTCCAATAAGCACGATGCCAAGTTGTCGATTAAAATACAGATCGTAAATCAATGTTTGATAAACTCAACGTGAAATTGGGCGATGAAAAAAAGCACTTATATGAAAACTGATTTAAATTAGCAAATCATGAACGACATTCACAATTCGACGAGATGCGCAACAAACATGTAAGATGTAATCATTCGGTCAAAAATTGCCAGTTAAATGGGGATGTAAAAGCGAACAAGCATCGGACGGGGGGGGAGAGGGGAGGCATGCGAATCAGAAAAAAGATTTTTGCAATACCATTGTAAAGTGATGCGCGCGCGTTTAACAAGATCAATTTCACCTAACTTGAGATATACATGTAAGTTCGCCGAACGGGAGGACGGGAAATAATATTGCAATACCTCTAATCCTGGTGCAGTCATACCATCTCGAAGGGCAGCTAACACATCAGTTCTACGTAAAATTTTGCGATGATTCTCGTCTTCGTCCTCTATGGAATCTGTACCGCTCGTATTGGCGGCGCGTTCCGGATCGGTTGTCATATTACTACAATTCAAATGTGTCGCTATATCAATCCCTTTGGATTATCTATCATTAATCTAGAGGTCTCTTAGCGTGTTCACAGCCAGTTAAATAAACTCGGTACTCGTCCCGTAACCCTCTTCAATCTGCTCGAATTTTACGTAGACTGAGAAGTACATGTATTTGTGTCTGTAAACTCTGCACGTACGTACAATACATATATGATAACTCCACTCGAAATCACTGAAGCAGTGCTGACATTTATGCGAATGTTATATTGTTAGGTACAACATACGAATTAAAAAAAATAATAAAAAAAGAAAGAAAAGGCAAGCGAGACTAATTCTCTGTGAGCAGATCTCTAATACTTTGCTTTCGCAACGCAATTAAAAAAAATGAAAAGGGCAAAGAAGCAAGTAAGTAGCTTATTAATATACAAATATGAACAGCGAGAGAAATCTATCTATAAATAACATAAATTTATGAACACACGGGGAAGGGTTAACTCAATGGGAAGGGAAGGGGGGGGAGAAAAAAAATCGATTTAAATTACTAATGAGAAACAAGTCTCATGTCGCTTTGAGAGAACGAAACATTCGGTGACAAAAAATTTTTAGCAACTCAGCTACAAGGTACTGGTTTCAAGCGTTAGAACTCAAATCGGTTAAATTTTTCAAAACGGGCGCAAGAAAAATGTGCAACGTGACGCGTAATGCTTGCGGGGTGTGTTGGAATTTGTATGTAGAGATCTTCGCACGAGGGGGACGAGAAACCGCGTGAAAAATTACAAGGTGCAACGAGGGTACGTGAAATAATAACGCGCCAGACACGGGCGGGATGAGAGACGGGGTGTCCGCGGTGGAGCGCCGGGCCCCTGGGGTCGGCTCCCCGACACGTGCTGGGAATTACGCAGGAATTTTTGCGATCCCCCCCGAACGCCGAGAGCCCGACGTCTCGAGGATCCGTGAGGTTATTTCCGGAGTCTCTCTCGGACGCGAGAGAGGCGAGGTCGCGTGGCGACGGAGCGAACGCCGCGTGGCGAGAGCGTCGACGAGGAGCGAGAGACGGTTACGCGGAATGACATTGAGAGGACGAGGCCCGAGGGCACCGGAGTCACGGAGAGATTCTCGCGCCTTCGCGACGCTCCGCTCCGCCGGGAGAATTCGGTCGGCAGGTACTCGGTAGGGACGTGCACGTGGCGTCGACGGAGTCCGTCGACGGCTTCCCAGCCGGACGTGGGAGAGACGTGGAGGAGAAGCGGAAACGCAGCGGGGACAAAGTGCGCGCGCGAGAAACAACGTCACGGCGAGGTACGTCGCGAGCGAGCGAGCGAGCGCGCGCGCGCGCGCGTGCGAGACGTGGTGCGGAGGGTCGTCCTCTACGGCGCGGAGGTAGGGTCAGATCTCCCGGATTCCGCCTGTCGGTTCCTACCTTCGAATCACGGAGTCGGGATCCGCGCGAGAGAGATGTGACGAACCAGACCTGACGAAACCAGGGACAACGAACAACGGACCACGGCGAACCGGTCGCTGCCTCTTGACGGTTGGACCGCGGGTAAATGCGCGATACGAAGAGGGATGAACGGCGGTTGCGAATCGCGAGCAATCGCGATTCGCGACCTCTCGATCCGGTCGAAGCGTACTCGAAGCGCGCAAGAGTCGCCGCCGCCGTCGATTAATTTTTTTCGCCTCGCAGCTGCGCCGCGTTGTGCTTTTTGCAAAACTGAATTACGCCAGTTTCTACCAATATAGATTAATTTTAATTTCGATTTAATTATTTTCTTGTTCTAAGAACGAGAAAAAAAGAAGAGTAGAACCTTGTGACCACGATGCTAGAAATCGGTCCGAGAACTCGGTCGAGAACTGTGTAGCCAATCAACTTGCAGGTTTTACGGAGAAGCAGCAATTTTATTAGCTATGTATATAATTATTTACGATCCAAGAACTCGATCCGATTTCTAGCATCGCGGACACAAGACTCAAGTTAAACCGAGATTAAAGTTTATCTACAACGACAGAAATGTCAAATGGATAATAATAAATAAATAGTAATAAAAATAATAAGATAAATATAGTAGAAATGGCAAACTATACGATTAAACTTCGATCAATTGTGTGTATCATAAACAATATTTACGTTATTTTGTTAATATAAATAAAATTATTAATTTTTTATTTACTAACGAAGAAAGATTGGATTGGAGAGACAGCGAAGTACGCAGTTCTACAGAAAATTTGTGCTTTTTATCCGGAAGAGCCGCGGCTCAATGAAAACGAAACCTAAAGGAGTCTCGACTTCGGAAATTCGAATTCGCCCGTCCGGTGCGACGTCTACGACCAGTCGGCAGTCTCGCGCCGTGACGTTAGCACGAAAGATATAACGTAGCCTCTCGGCCGCGGCGTAGCATTCGCGTTCGTTCGCCGTGGTTATGTCTCGCGACGAGACCCGTGACCCAGGTGGCCGTGATCGTGCATTGGTTTTTTTCCCCTTGCGGTCCGGTCGTCGCTGGTCGTCGCCGTCGCCGCGGTCGTTCCTGCTCGTCGCGAGTTGAATCCCCTCCCACGCTCGTCTCACGCTCTCTCCTCTCTCTCTCTCTCTCTGTCTCACTCGCTCGCCCGCTGAGCTATTTTCGCACGCGCGCGTCTTCGGTTGGCGGCGGCGACGACGACGACGAGGGGCAAACCCGAGCAAACGGTGAAATAATGTGTCTACGTGTACGCGCGACGCGATAACGCTCGGCCGCGAAATATGTCAGCGGGCGCCACGGACCCGAACGAGGCTGTCACGCGCGCGGAACACACACACGATGGCTACCTCGTCGACGAGGTCGACCGCGTCGACCTGTCGGGCCTGCGGCTGGACGACGACGACGACGACGATTGGTGGGTTGTCGGCCGCCCCCCTGTCCCGGTGGCCCTTTAATCGGCTCTTTAATCGACCTCAGGGCGCTCGCCGTGTTTACCTCCACTTTCGTCCCTGTTTCAATCATTTTTCCGCTCGGGAGATTATACGAATGAGATATATAATAAGAATTTATAATGAGCATAACGAAATAGATAACAGTACGTTTGAAATTGACTCTTCTGCAGAGCATGTGCTGTTTGTAGAAGAAATATGATTTAATAGATAGATCGATAGGTAGATTTTTTTTTTGCATTTTCCTTTATGTGGAGTTATTTGGTGTATGTTGCCCTTTCTTGAGTCAATTTTAATTATGCGTATTTAAGAATTTGTCTTGTACACTAGTCTTTCGCCAGCTGGTTTATTATGGCATGCAAATTAGATAATTTGGAAGTATAGAAGACAAGACATTTTTACATTTTGTACTGATATAATAAATTAAATATTAAATATTCTTTTATTCTTACAAAATAATAAGTTGATTAAATTAATTTCGATCTAATCATTAATTTAAACTTGTCCCTTCTTAGGTTGTACGTGCCTCCGCAATGCTCAACCGAATCTGCAATCAAGGATCTATATGCCTGGCTGAAGGCAGAACCGGAATTGGATGTTCGAAGTACAAAGCATAATATCGTATTAATTTATCCGCTAAGAATTCTCAGCTTGATTTATAATCTTATAATCCAGGTATTGCTTCCTATTGCTACTGAATTTAATCTGTATCTAGATAACAAAAAATGCATCGACACGAGAACATTCACGAGACCTAAGAAACGATCGGCTCGAATGAGCTTTGAATCGATTTTCGAAGGACTACCGCCTTCCACAATGGATGTACGGAAGCTGCAAGATATGAATGTTGCACATATAGAAAATGTAAGTTCACCTCTTTTACATTTCTATACGTAGAGATTTTATGTTAAAAATTTCATATTAAATGTAGAAATATAATATTAAATGTTGATTTTCCTTATTTATATTAAAAAGTAAATAGACTTATTTATAAAATAAGATTTTTCTGTTCTACAATATCTATGAATTATCAGTCAAAATCTATAATACATTATATCTATGAATTATTAGTTAAAATCTATAATACGTTATATTGAATGTTTGAAATTTTATTGTGTCATTACCTAGGTGGAAAAGTATTTACCTGCAATAATTGGAAATAAGGAATCGGTGCCACCGATCCTGAGGCCGTCCATCAGAGCGGCCATGAGTATCCTGTCCGACGAGAACTCGGTAACGTCGGGGCAGGAAAGCATGGAGGCCTTCCTGAACATGTCGCAGTCCAAGGGAATAGATTCGTTCATAAACCTAGGCGAGCCCGAGTTCAACGATCTGTTGATGAACGTGTCGCAACCCTCCATCTTGAGTGCGTCCGTTATCGCTTCTCTAAGCGAATCCACGTTCATTAAAAGCGACACGATGCTGGAGACGAGCAAGATCACGGCACGGAGCAGCAACGACACGGAAGGAAGCTCAAACTCGGATAACATCAATAATGAAACATTCGTGATGCGGACCGCCGACAATACAATTACATCGGACAAGTCACACTGCACAAATAGTCTAAGCGACACCTGCAAGGAATTTCCTCAGCCGAGCAACGGCCTGAACGAGACGTACAACGCCGGAGCTTCTAGTGGAACGTCGGCAAGATCGAGCCTCGACAGGGGAGAGGCCGCCACTTTGTCTTCCACTTTCGTAACCGAGCCTAACGCCGACGCTACCTTCGTGCAATTACAGAATCAAGCGAGTAACGACGTTAAGCAGCTGAACATCATATATCTATCCTCGACGCGAGGCGCCGAGAGACCACGTTCACCCGTGTCGATCGCCAGCGGCACGTATGTACCCACAATGCGCGTGAATAAAGCGGATTTGAACGTAACGTGCAACGTTCTGTCGGATGACATCGAATCCGTGGTGCCTCTCACGCGCGAGACACTCGCGAGCGCTCTAGACATGTCCTTCAAGGTGCCTGTCTGCAATCAGTCCACGCCGATGAATCCGAGTCTGCAGACCGCAACGTCGAAGTTCGCTGCGAGGCACTTGGAGGCACAGCCGGCTGCGCGCCCCGCGTTAAAAGCCCCCACGACGCTGAGGCGAGAGTTGCTCGCAGAGGTGCAACGAAGCGGCAAGCTGGACTCCACGTACAATCATATCCCGAGCGGTCATCTCGGCCCGAGGGGGGATGACGCCAAGGAGAATGTTCGCGTAGCCTGCGACGAGAATGAGACTGACGTTTCTCCGACGAACAAGTTCCGCACGTACAGGAAGACGCCGGCGTTCACGGCGACGGCCAATCAGGGTACGAGCCAGAACGAGACGGTTGTAATCGCTCAAAGGGAATTGCCAGTGGACCAACGTAAATTTTATACTTTCACGAAGAGGAGCAACGCCATCGGGAGGCTACCTGACAATACCGCCGGTGAGAACGTCGAGAGGACGCGTCCGAGCGTGAACAGCACGTTTTGCAAACCCCACCTTCCGCAAGTGCTGCAGAAGAGGAACGTGCCGACGAGGACGTTGACGAAGCTGCCGCAGTTCCTGCAGAAGTCCAATCCGAATCTCGCGTCGAGTTCGCTCAAGAGCGGCGTCGTGTCCGTCAGTCGCACGGGCATATCCAGTGTGGGCTACATCAAGGGCTCGCAGCCGAATCTCGTGGAGAGGTCGCCGCCGAGCAAGTTGCATCCGTACGGCAAGGCGAAGAGCGGCTCCGATCAACGGCTGCTCGAGGCCAACGCGAGTACGAATAATCAGTTCCCGATGAAGGGCGCGATTGCCGGCTCGACGGAGAGCATAGAGAGCTCCCACAGCGTTCACAGCGCTCCGGACCTGGACGACAGGCTCAGTACGTGCTCCGACAGCAGTAGTCATAATTCGTGCACCAAACAAACGATGAATATCGATCAGTTGCATAAACTGGTGCGAATGCAGGAAGAGAGTAAGTTATTACTTAGAAAATGTGAAATATTAATTCAATATGAACATTTAAATGATTTAAAAGTACGTATCGCTGAGAAATCTCTAATTCTGAGTTTGCATCTTCAGGTTTAAAGCATGACTCGGCGCCCAAACCGAACAGGCAAGTTCTGCAGAACACGTGGGTCGAAGCGAAAATGGATTTGCCCTCCCCGATTTCGAAAAACGGCGGGGAATACAGCGAGATTGACAAACATTTACCAAATGTCGATTTAAGTATGAAATGCAGCTCACCGTTAATCAGTCCCACTGGGTCTAGTCACGCATTAAACAACGACGGTAATTAATTTCCTTTGAAATTAAATTAAAATATAATAATATAAACAATTAGGTAAATAAATAAATTATACATGTGTCTTTTAAGGGAATGCCGAAGGCAACGTAACAAAGACCAAGGATGAAATTGTAGCAGTTGAAAAAATGGAGGTATGTAAACTCACTGCGATATTACAAAGTCAAAATTTCAATGTTTCACGATAATAGCTAATCAAGCTTATTTATTCGAAACGAGTTATACTTGGTTTGCCACTTGAAAGAATTAGAAATAAATTATTACATATCGAATACATGTTGCAATTACGTAAATCTATTGATGTGCAGGATCCGAATCAAGTAGTGCCTAAAATTGAGAATAAGACTCGGTTGAGACAGCCGACCAATTGGAGCATCGGAAGCAAGCCTGCTGTGATAAGCGGAATTCCTAGGCCCGCGTCGCGTATACCGGCTCTCAGATTCGTTCGGCCGAACGCGAAGACCACTCAGGCCGATTTGAGAAAAGGATGCACATGAAATCCCGAACGGTAAAAGTATGCAAGGGAAGACAGGGATTTTTTTACAAATGTTTAGTTTAACCACTAATATAGCGGTCAAAATAACGGGGATATTTTCGGTTCTATTATATAGTAACGATAAAGTTTCTCAAAGCTGATAAAAATTCAGTATTATTGAGCTTCCAAGTTGGATGATAAAAAGGGATTACTATTAATATTTGCGTGTTGCTTGTTTGTATTTAGTTTATAAAATTAGTACTGTGAAGTATCATCTCACACTTATCACTCCTATTTAATATTTATATGCATTTTTTTTTACAATTTGAAGCATAATGTCTCGCTGATAAGGATTGAAAATATTTATACTTATATAAATTTGTAAAATATTTCAAGAGTTTGTCTATTGATTGCGAAATATATATATAAAAAGAGTGCGATCTATTTCGCAAATAAGATCGTTCAAGTCTTAAATTTTATCGTTGCCAAAAAAACAAGATTTCAAGATTGCAGAATGTATTGGTGTTGTTTGTAATTTCTATATGACGTAAATTGAGACTTTTTTTCGTTCGGTATTTTATAGGAAAAGCCGAAGAGAAAGGCTATTTTTCGCACAATAGTCAATACAAACAATGGCAATAAGTCTAAAATCTTTGTACATAAGAACAATATATATATATAGCGTTATAGAAAAATTGTTCAAATATTTTCTATTAAATAATAAATGACAGATCGGCCGATAAATTATAAAAAAAAAAAGAAAAGAAAAGACTGCGAGTGTGATTCACATTATTGCAGGCAAAAATCAGTTTTTATCTCATCTCATCTCCGTCCTGTTCGATAGTGTCTCTGTTTTCTTATTCATAAAATTACTCGTGTTTTGTCAAATCACCTGAGACATATCATCGCGCTTACAAACGAGATACAAAGAAATTATAAAAGGTTGATACAGTGATATATATATGTATAAGAAAATTGTTCGACCTGTAATTGTTCATATCGGGTGTTCGGTACCTGTTCAACCATTGAAATACTGATATATTGAACATACAAGTTCGACGCGCGTTTAAGACAAAAAAAATAAGCGGAAACCGTAAAATATTCTGTGATTTCACATATTGTCGTATCGCATGTAGATACATATACATTTTGTATAGAAAGTTTTTTTTATACATTGATAACTAATTGATTACTAAAATCGAAAAAATACGGAGTTGCACGGGCACTTCGACTTCTTTATAGATTCCACATTTCTGCACAATGAAGAAACAACAGGTATTCGTACGATTTGCCTCGTTGTTAAGAGAAGCTCGCTAAGTTCTAATTTAACTTCAACATTCTAAAGAATTGTCAATTACGATTGCACAGCACATCATAATGAAAGATATTAAAAATGTTATTTATACATTAATATAAATAATATAAATAACATTTTTTTAATATAAGAGAGATATCGTAAGGTATTCTATCTAATGAGTTATTAATCTATAATTAAATTGCAGAAATATTTAAAATTAAACTCTCCTATACGTTATATTAATTTATTCTCTACAGGGGGATAACGCAAGTTAATTTTAATCGCGAACCAGAATTGAAACAATGTGTATGCCTATTGTAAATAATAAAATGAATAAGTGATCGTCGTATCGTAATCTTTATTTATGTCAATAAGTGATAGACCTTAAGTGCCTTTATTGTATTAATCGAGATACAAACAGCGGTTTTTTATACACGAAAAATACAAAAATTAAGAGAAATGCGCTCACTAATCTACCACAAGTTTTACTGCCCAAATATAATGCTGCAAAATATTTAATGTTACCTTTACCTTTTTTTATATAAATCTTGTAATAATAAATAATATATATGTTAACACGTGTCCTCACCCGTTTTCTATTCTATTAGAATCAAACGCGATGCATTCGTTTTTGTAAAAACTGTAAATCTCTTGTTTTGTGTACCTTGTATTTAAAAACATTCTTCAGCATTTAACAAATAAATGATTTAAATACATGATCAAAATTATTTCCATTTTAATATGATAAACTAATGCATCGTTTTAGCAAAGGTATATACTTTAATATAATTTTCACATTTTACATACGTTTTTACGAAAGAAGAATGAATATAACTTATTATACGCTACACACAATGTACCCAAACTATTATCGGTACAATAAAAGACTAGACATATACTCCTCAGATTACACCGATAAATAAACACAATTATTACAATCGAACCTTGCAAAATGCCTTTTGCGCTGCCCGACAAAATATTTCCGATTAATTTAATTACGTAGTAGAGATATAAATAAAAATATTTTTTGTAATTGTAAATACAAACGCACGAAGTACGGACGATACGCATATAATAGTGATAATAAATCCACATCTCGCTGCACATGAATTAGAATAGATCAATACAGGACGAAAAAATTGAATATATACTAACAAACGATTGTGAGAAGTAGGAATATAAAAACATTCCATAATGTAAATAACAAAAGAATAGAATAATTACGGATATAAATACAATAACTACGATATAATACAGGTACCTATTTTTAAAATATTATTGCAATAAATATGTATCCATTAATCGTCAAACATTGCTGCCGTAAAAGCTACCGTAATGAAGACTCGGATAATTAGGCAATAGCTATGCAGCAGATATTACCTAATCATCTGATGCTTGACAAGCATTTAAACAATTCATTTTGTTTACCAAAAAAAAAAACTGAAAATTTCGGCAAAATACTTTGGTCGTTTTCTTATTCTGCTTAACTTAAATAATACACACGATATAAATAATACGTGAACACATCTAATTTCGCATCTTGAATTGCTTCTTAAAAATGTATTTGTAATTTAGTGTAAAAATAACGCGTTTGATTATTATACATAATACTTGTACATACATAATGCAAAGTGATACGAAATAATTAAAATATTTAAATAGTTATAAATAATTAATATATAGTATTTGATAATTTTCTCAATAATTTTCGATATTCATACAAAAAAATATTAAAGTCTCTTAATTATGTCTTGAATGAATTTGTCATCAGAGAAAATTTGATTGAAGATGTGCTTGATATATTTCTGATTAATAATGTTGTGCGCTATGTGCTTCATACATCTAATTTCCAAATCTAACATCCAAACTTTTTTTTTTTTAGTAATAGTGAAAATTGCACATCTCCATGTGACGATAAAATAAATGGTTGTATGATTTGCATAGCCACTTACATCATAATCTTACTACGATCGGGATCTACTGATATAGATTAATATAAAATATCGTATAAATTAAGAAATATAAACTTTCGCAATATATGTGAAATACGTGTAAAACGAGCCGCGAGTCTTTTTGATGTTTGTTTTTGGCAATTAAATAATGTGCACGTAAATTATTAACGAAATATTGGAAACGTACATTTTATATTCTTCCGTTCTCTTTACATCATTTTCTTCGCATTATGCAAATAACAGAGGATAAATGTAAATATCGTTTTCTTTTAAAAGCACAGTGTGTGAGTATTATGCCAAGGCACACGTAATAACTTCGTATCATACTTCTGGCTTGTTATTTATATAAACGCCCTGCGTATATATGAATTATATTTCATAAAAAATATATCAAACGTTTAACATGCGAATGTATATACTGCATTAGCTTCCTGAATTACTGGCCAAGGAATTCACACCGTCATTTTGTGAACAGCGATAATTATTCTACATCGGCAATTAACTTCAAATAATGAAAATGATCAAAACCGCAACGTGCCGCGTTACAGGTGTAACGCTATCGAGAGTTTTATCGCAGACTCGACGCCCTTACGTCGATATAACATGAACAATAGTGAAATCATCGTTCCGCATTATACACACTTAGTATAGAAATAGACTCGTTACGAAATATGAAAAGTGAACACACATTTAGAGCGATTCTCGTTTCACGTTTTACCTTAGAAAAACGGTTCGATATACGCCGAGTACCCACATTCAGACTGGCATCTGATAATCTACTGATTGTCCATTGGATAGCTAACGATTTACAATGATATAGCAACTCGTGGACAAGTATATGTATTCAGCTGACAGTTTGATCGATGGCCGCGTTGTTATTCGCACGCCAATTTACTGTCGAAGCTACTCAGAGCGATGGCGAACGCCTGGACTGTACAAAGGGGAAATCGGTAATCCATCGTAAAAACGTCCTCCGCGACGCGTCCAAACTGCATCACGACGTAATCCACTAAAATTAACAGAAATCCAATAAATCTTTCGAAATAAATCACAGAAAAATGCCATGAACATTACACCACGTATGCCGTGTGTAAAATACAGAAAAATATTCAGTCTCGTCATACCATCGCTGTCATGGACGACTTGGAAATTCTTTACAGACGCCTGAGTTACTCGCCCGTGGAAATTAAGCACGTAAGACTGCGTGTCGTCGTTCCATACGGGAGTTTTGTTATGTAACTCTATCAGATTGTCCATCTGTTTTAATTTCCATCGTTCTAGAAGATATAAAATATATGTAAAAAAAAATAAAAATATATAAAAGACACAATTTGTTAAATTTTACTTTTACAGATAATTCTAACGTAAGTACTAATTTAGTTTTATTTGTGCTGCTGCAGTTTCAACTGCATTATTATTAATAATTTTCATTAATAATCTTGAATAATTAATTATAACTCTGACGTGCATCAAGTATACATTACTTTATTTTTGGCATGCAAATGTAGAATACATTTGGTCTATTTTGGCCTTTTACCATATCTTGTATATTGTATTAATAATGTATAAAATTATATTATAATATTATAGTATATTTTTCTATTATATAGTATATATTTATATTATATTATAGTAATTATTATATATAAAATAATAAAATTAGAATTACCAAGCAAGGTTTCCGATTCGACCCGCGGACATATCTCCACCCGCTTCTGATCGGGCGTCATGCCCGGTATAATGACTGTCATCTTACGCGGGCCTTTAAAACCTAAGACATTCGTGTCATACACCACCGCGGCCAATTCCTGCCGTGGATTGAAACGCTCGTCGCGTTTGTCGTCTTTCATCAACGAGTATCCGTTGTCGTAAATTGAGAATTGCGTCCCCAGAAGATTCGATCGGAGTTTACCGACGTAGGATTCCCCTCCCCTCGAGAGGTCTGTGGGATCGGTCGAAATCAAGTAATTGCTCGTCGCGCTTTTTTTCCTTTTTCGGCCAGCCAGTAGGAAAATCTGCAGATATCAATCAAGACGTATAAAAGACGGGGCTGTGAAAATAAGCGAACGCAAACGTACCTTTTTCCCATAATCGCGCTCTAGATGTAAGAAATAAGTCGGATAAAGACCACGGTCCATGCCCTTCCGGTCGCGCGTTATTCGACATTTGTAATGCATCTTCTTATTTGCCGGTTGCAATACAAACTGCTCAATATTGCCTTCTACATTCCCTTCCAGTTCTGGACTCTGCAAAACGAACGACATCAAGGCATTCAGGCAATTGTTTTATAATATTCATATATCACAAATAAAACATATATATATTATAATTATATATATGTATGAAATACGTACGGAAGAGTTGTTATCTCTATTAATAAGAGTGTTAGGCCCTTCCGACGGGGCCACTCGAAGTGGTGAGGAACATGGCAGAGATTCTGAGGGTGAATGCAAATCTATGGGTGACGATTCCTCATCGGCACAATCAGTGCTTTGGGAACCTTCGTACAAGCTTCTATCGCTGACCATTGCTACAAAAAGTGTGAATAATTAAACATCAGTGTAATTAATTTTAAACAAAATTAAATATAATTAAATATAATTAAAACAAAAAATGGTTGACTTATTTTTATGATAAAGTATGGCGTTAACAAACAGCGTAAAATTACTATTTTTGTAGCAATACCTAAAGAATGGTACATATATGTATGGGTATATATTTTTAATGTCAGCATATTAAAATTTTTATATATAAAAATAAGTTCAAGAGTTCAAAAGAAGAAGTTAAAAAAAAAAGTTCAAATCCAGAAACATTGGATTTTTATTCGATCGCTATATCTTTCGGTAAACAATAAACCACCGAGAGTATACATATCTTGCCATGAAAGGAAGTAAAACTTTCAAGCGTACGAATTTGTAAATAAATATCACAAACCATATCCTTGATTGCAAATTCTCAATGGCAGGAGATTTGAAATTGAACATTATACTTATATATGAAATTTCTAAATACTTTAGAGACACTTGGGATCGAACAGAAGAAGCCAATAAAAGTAAAACTACATGACTGCAAATGTAAATGGTGTAAATTTAACTCCTTCCAAAAATTTGTCTATAAGATCGCCTGTGTAAAAAAATCGTACAAAAAATCATATCCAATATGACATTATCCAATTATATCCAATTATAAATCCAATCATATAAATATATTTATAATTGTATGATTGGATTTATATTGGTGTATAAAAAAATCGTACAAAAAATCTATGTCCAATTATAAATCCAATCATATAAATATATTTATAATTGTATGATTGGATTTGTAATTGAAACTAGATTTTTTGTATGATTTTTTATACACAGACGATCTTATAGACAAATTTTTGGAGGGAGTTAAATTTACACCATTTATATTGGCAGTTGTGTTTTACTTTTACATGTAGTTTTACTTTTTCACTTTCCATATCCGTGAGAAACTCGAAAAAGGTGCCTTCCTCGTATATTTATATTTTTAGAAAAAAAATATATATATATTTGACAATTTTATCCTACAAGGCCCTAACAAGGTGTCTCCAAAATATTTAGAAATTTCATGTATACGTTTAATTTCAAATCTCCTTAGTCATTGAGAATCCGCACAATTATTGCTTCACGTCCATGGTTTGTGATATTCATTTACAAATTCGTAAGCTTGAAGTTCTACTTCTTTCATTGGCTACAGTTTGCTTAAAGTTGCAAATGCTTTGGCACATTTATTAGTAGAAATTTTTTCTTCTAATTGATTAATTTAATGCTTTGAAACATTTGCAGCATCAATTTTATTCTTAAAAATAATCTAGTATTGAGTTTACCATTAATTGTCCCTTCGCTGTTTTTTCTCTCTGTGTAAGGTCCTACTTCTGTATTTGTTTGAAACATAGCGTATTGTAGTGGGCCGTCATAAGCTGCAAATGTATTAAAACACCTTTATTAGACAATCTTTTAATATTACATAAATATATCCTATATTATACATATATGTATATTATAAGTCTAACATATAAATTTCATATATATACATAATACATTTTGTATAAATCTATAATCGAATTACAATTGTCTTATTCTTTTTCAGCAATTATAGAATGATTTTATTTGCACGCTACCGTGAAGTTCCTTGTTTGGATTCATCCATTTATTCGAATGACTTGTGAGCTGAGCGCTGGACACATTAGATGCTTGCACCATTCCGCTAGCACCAGTCTGCCTCTTCTGCTTCATCTTCTGCGCGATCAGTTGCCTCTGCATCAATTAATACACAACGCAAATGAAGTGCGATACAATATAACTCGGTAATTCAAAATTACATAGATGAAGAGCTACTATTTGAATTTTAAAAAATTATTAACTCGGTATAACTCACGATTGCATTCATAAATTTCATTCAAATCACTCGATAAATCATCCTTTTTCAACAGTTCTAAATTTCAATCAAACTTCCAAAGTTTGTAATTTATTTCGAACGTAATGCAAATGAGACTTTTAAATGTTAAATAAAATAACTACTGTACAGCACAATCTCCTATTAACACGCGACCTTGGCCCGCAAACAGGAATGAATTCGAACGAGTAAAATTGTCTATTATTAACTGATACATGTAATCCAAGCTCGAGCGTTCATTAATTATTCACTGCATGGCTGTGGTGTCGAAAGACATATGGATTTTAACTGTTTCTGGCCGCTCGGTATTTCAATACGATACACCAGAGTCGAAGGCCAATTTCTCTCGAATTTCTCATAAGTGATACTTTTTCACAGGACTGCAAGTGACACCCTTTTAAATTAAATGAGCCACACCGCGTACGAGGGGCGTACAAGGTTACGCGCTCCGAAGACGAAGTCTTTTACGTGTGACAAGTAAAAGTCTCGGCCCGACCGCTACGCTCAAGTCGCACCTGCTGCTCCAGCTTCTGCTGTCGCAAGTCGAGCGATGTCATTTTGTCACGAGATCGGTTTATCGGGCGACGGATCGACGTCGGAGATGCGCAGCTCCCCAGCCGCTGACAAACCACACAGCTTTGTTTACGCCAAACACACTCGCTCGCCCGCGGTACCTAGGCAACCGTTCGCCCCGAGCCTCGTAGCCTTCGCAGCTCTCTCACATATGCTTATGGCGGACTCGCAAGAGCTGAAGAGAGAACGGCGCCCGATCGTCCGAGTAGTCCAATTGTTCAATTCGATAAAGGACCATGTGGATTGGTTGGTCCAAGGAGGAAGCTCCAGGCAGCTCCAAGATGCTTCTCTCTGCTCACAAGGCACCAGAAACGAAATAATTCTATTTTAATTTTAAAATTATATATATATATTTTTTATTTATTTATTTATTTATTTTACATTTAAATTGTTTTAAAATTAAAACTATAATTATAATCATAGAATCAAAGTCATAAATTAAATTAAATCCAAATGAAATCGTATTTTTTTGAATGCACGATTTCTCTCGAGAATAGAGCAGTCTCGAAAAATGGATGTACATAAAAATAAAAAAATATATAATAATAATAATATCATTATTAAATATAATAATTAATAATATAATTAATATAATAAATATATTATTATATTATATATTACA